TTGTTTTACATAATTCTAATGGCAACAGCTGAAAAGCGATGGTGGGTAAGCTTGCTGGGAAGCCTAGAGAAAGAAAGGTTCTGTTGCCAGTTTTAAGTGACAAAAGAGCATATGAACTATCACTTTAGAGTATGTTTTCAGCTCACAAGAGGCAAAACACTACAGGTATCCAAATATGAGCATCAGAAGATAAGCATATGCTTACCTCAGATTTGAGGAATCCCAGAAGTAACTATTTAGGTCTGTATTATGTGTGTCTGCTATATAGAAGGGTTTTTTCCTTCATATCTTGCAGCTGGATTTCTTCAGTTTTAGGTCAATTCATAAACAGTTTCAAGACCAAATACCATTGGTATAGGGGGAAAGCAGAAGGGATGCTGTGGGTTTCCATAGAACTTCTTGCTGTCTGGCAGTGGAGTTGTTCAAGAAGCTGTGAGCAAGCTAGGGGAACGCAAAGGTTGTCTGTCAGCTGATGGAACTGGCAGATTCAGTGGCAAGTGCTTGTCTTTTCAAGTCATTGGCTGGTGTCAGATGCAACTTCAGACAGTTTTGGTTTAGTGTGTTACTACTAACTTACTTGGGTCAAATAATGGGTTGCTAGTTCCTTAGTGAGCTAACATAAATAGGACAAATGGGGGGGGTAATAGTTTGATAGTTAATAATACATAAAGTAGCTCTTCGCATAATTACTATGTCTCTTCATGTAATTACTATCAGATTTCAACATGGCATTATCTTTCATAAGACTTCATTAATACCGCAGTTGTCAAGCCCAGGGTGAATTTAGTACAGTGTACATAAGCTTCAGTCCTGGAGTTAGTTCATGACTGTCAACTTGAGTAATATGTTGCCTTTTAAACTGTACCACCAAGAATTAGGAGCTTGAGAGTTGGAAGTGCTGACTGTTACCTCCTTCCTTCTTTTTCAGTCTCACTGCTGGTTTGTTTTTCAACACCTTCTCCATAAACTTGTGATTCTAGTAGCACAGGAACAACATTTCAGCAGTATTGAATAAAACACAAAACTCGGTGTCTGGCCTGATAAAGTATACA